TGGCTTAAGAGTTCCAGCAGTTATTGTATGATAGTAGTGCAAGACTGGGGCAGGCCCTCTTGCTCTGCTGGACAAACATCTGTGCTCACGTGCCATGCTGCTATATGACTGAATAAGGATATAAGTCAAAGCAGTTAGTTGTAATGTAATCAGGAATATTTTAATGATCTCTGTTTCCATTTCATATGTTCACACAATTATATTTATAATAAAATGATTTTTATGAAAGAATGGTATCGTTTCTGAATTGTGTCAAATATGGATACACATATTTGTTAACATGAAAAACAATACAGGTATTGTAACAAAAATATTTCGTACGATTATAATTTTTCCAGAAAATCCATAAAATTAGCTCTCTCGTAGTTCAATGTGCCTCTGTATAGGGTGTGAACTCATGAAATTAGCTAGCTCAGTCGGCTGAACTGGTGGTAGCTACTATGTGTGCGCTGAACCGTGAAAGATCTCTTGGTCCCCGGTTCAATTCCCATCACTGCTCTCCTTGTGTTTCAGCTGGAGGGCTGAAGTGCAAGTAACGATAGCGCACCGTCTTGATGAGACGGTGAAGCCGTTGGTTCCGTGTGCATTATTACCTGTGTGCACATTAAAGTATGCAGTACACTATTCGATAAAGAGTAGGGGATTGTCTCCCAGTGTACTGCCCAATCACCACCTGAAGGACCCCTCTGTAAATAAATCTTCTTCAGACTCTCGTGGGTTAACCTTGGTGTTTACACCAAATAGATAAACCATTATCTACAGTGAATAAATGCGAACTGGATTAAATTTGTATAGTTTTATTAATTGTTATTGAAAGGTTGGCTCCAGTGTTCGGCCTCTAGCCTCTGTCTACACTTAACTTAATGCATTATCTCCATTTGTATAAATCGTTATTACAAGTACTGTATTTGTCTTTCGGTATTGGCGACTAAAATACTTCCTGTTCTATTGAGCGCCAGACCACTAATATAAACGAGTTTTATAATGACCAGAACGGATAAACAGATTTAAAAACGGAATTACACATCTTTTAATTGGCAAAGCCCAACATATTTCTAGTTGAATATTGCTTGCATAATATGCCTAGCCTACAAAGCAATTAAAAACAACTAGGCGGCCCACGTAACTTTTTTTTTCTGAATGATGAAATGAAACAAAATCAAATAATTATGATTTGAGAACTAAAAATAGATAATGCGAAAGCTTATGCGAACACCTCCATATAGCATTGTACCAGCTGCTACCTGGAGATCGGATTTAATACTAACAAATATGGGCAAGCTCGATGTCTAGTGGTTATGGAAACAGGCTAGTTCTGGTGGAGTGGAGGTCGTGGGTTCGATTCCCACCTGAATCACTCTGCGTGATTTTTTGGAAACGTGGCCTACTGAGCAAAATCACAGTACCGGTACGATTAATCAGGTAAGCCAAATCACCATTCCTATTAGGAAGACGTTATAATAATTTACAGCTTAAAGATGTAGGCCTACTGCCTGTGATGACCCCAGAATTTGCCTGACCGGGTCCGATGCCGCCGGGTGGGGGAGTGTTTATTTGATCCAAATAATGAAAGCAAATACAGTAAAATGTAACAGTATCACAGTACTGAAAATATTAAAGAGAAAAATGGATCTGGGAGACCCTTATTATGGCTGGAACAGCCGCTTACATAAGAGTCAACCATGGCAGGTGGAAACTTCAATAGCTATAATAATAATAATAATAATAATAATAATAATAATAATAATAATAATAATAATAATAATAATAATAATAATAATAGGAGGCTCAAATGAAGTCCATAAGCGAAGGCGGCCGGAACACCGGACATTTTAGAGATTTGAAAGGCATACTGTATTTAATCGAGTTCAGTGTCGCGTTCTGTAAAAATTAGGCCCTATATATAAGATGTTTCCTTTCCTGAGGAATTGTTTTCTCCTGACGGTGACGCCGGCCCCACTGGTGCCACCAATCGCTTATAGGCTAACAAATAAAATATTCAATTCCATAATATGTGAATTGCGTATTAATCTACTGTAATTAATGGTACAATTGAAAATTTGAATTTAAAAACTGCCAGTCAATTGGGCTGATCGAGACAACACTACCCCTCTGTCGTATCATTATATATGTATATA